GCTGAGTTTGGGGTTGTGGATCAGCACACCAGCTCTTTTCTCTGGTGGGCTCGAACTGCCAATGTTCTGTCTCTTAAGCAGCATGCCAACCATTGGCCTCACCCAGACTCCGTGATCTGGGGAACTGTATGGTAAGCTTCTGTCCGTGGTCTATAAATGGACGTGGAAATGCACTCCAGGTATCTGGCAGCGCGCCCCCCCCCCCAGCAGGCCTTCTGGGCCCCACTAGGACTTTCCCCCAGGCCCTGTGCAGGTGGCTCTGCGCCACTCTTCCCTGAGCATCTCCTGACTTCGAATCGCTGGGGGCTCACCATTCAGGTGCTAAATTGCCTGCTGTTGAGTCACAAGGTGTTATTTTTCAGGAAATGCTTTTCCTGCTCCTCACCAAGTCACATTCCAGGCCAGGCTACTCCCAGTAACCTGCTACCGCCCCACCCCCACCCCCCCAGCCACGCTCATCCCCACGTTGCCTCCCTTCACCAGTTCATTCCTCCTGGGGTGTGGTTGGGCCAGCGTTGGTTTCAACACTGTGTGGTCAGTCATGCTGCTGTGTCTTCCCATGGATGCCGGGGTCCCTCATCCCTGGGGTGCTCCTCAGCACTGGTGGCACCCTGTTAAGTGCTTGGCTGTGAACGGAAAGGTCTGGCGTTGTGGGCCCCGCAGTGACTCCACGGAAGAAAGACCTTGGCCTCCTGGGAGACCCATGGGGCAGTTCTGCCCTGCCCTGCCCTGCCCTGTGGGTCGCTGTGAGTCGGAACTGACTCCAGGGCCATGGGTTTGGGGTTTTAGTGTCGAACTGCGTTCAGCTTGTGTATTCACCCTGATCCATTTCCACCCACCCGCACGACCCATCCTTCCTCCTCCACACTCCAGTCGCACCTCGCCCTGTGCGTGAGGGGCTGAGGGGAGGGGACAGGGTGGCAGGGCTTCCAGCGGCACGTGGCCTGCTTACCTGTGAGGATGCAGCTAACCTTTTGGATGACGCCGACGGTGTGTTGCCTTAGGAGGCCCTTTGCTGGGCTGTGAGGCAGCAGGCCTGTGTTTCTGCCTGGCACTGGCCTCCTGCCTGCCTGCCACCACTTCTACCCAGGCCCGCCCCCCTAGTCAGGGGCTGGTTGTCACAGGCAGTGGGAGGGGTGGCAGAAGCCATCGCCGGTGCAGTCATTCTTAATCTCTGACTTCTCATCCATAGTCTCTCTGTGCAGTGTGAATGTTTTCAGGTCAAAGATGATGGTGTTAGTGAGGAGGAATTATTTTTAGTTAATTTTAATTCCAGATCTTCCATTTCTTTCTTCAGAGAGCAGAAAGCTAGCCCGGCAGGGATGAAAAGACTGCCTGGTGCAGGGTGGTTGTGATGGGCGCAGTGGGCCTAGTGCTTCTGGAATCAGCACTCTCTAGGCCAGCAGTTCTCAACCTTCCTCAGCCGCAGCCCTTTCATGCAGTTCATGTGCTGGGGACCCCCAACCATGACATTATTTTCGTTGCTACTTCATCACTGTCATGTTGCTAGTCATGAATCGGGCAACCCCCCAAAGGGGTCCTGGCCCACATGTTGAGAACCGCCGCTCTAGGCCTGGGGTTAGTGGAGACCTTCACCTGTGTGCGCTCTGGTTGACTATCCGCTGAAAACTCCGCTCTGTGGCTGCTTGGCGAACAGGTTGCGGGAGGCCTCTTTCTGCCTGACAGGCGTTTTCTAAGCGGGCCTCCTTCGTTTTTTAACTTCACCTCTTCTACGGCATCAGATCACTGCCCTTTCATGCCCCTGTTCATTCGATGAAATAACAAAGTCACACAGAGCTAGGTCAGGTGTGTGAGGGCAAGAGAGGCAGGCTGTTTTTTGCCAAAAGCTGGTGCGCTGAGATGGCTGCCTGATCTGGTGCATTGTCGTGGTGGCAAAACCAGTCCCCCGTCTGCCACAAATCATGCTTTTTTGTCTCACACTGTTAGCCAGTCTTTTCAGTACCTTAATTAGAAAGCTTGACTAACAGTCTGACCTGCTGGAACTAACTTCAAATACACTAATAATCGACATCTTCATCCCTTCAGGAGGTTGACGGATGTCCAGAACAAGGTTTTACATAACCATTGACATTTCACCTTTTCGAAGTGAGAAAACCACTTGTACACTTGAGTTTTCCCCATAGTCCTGTCCTTGTAAGCTGTGTTCAGCATCACAACACTTTCTGCGGCATTTTCCCAAATTTCACAGCTGCACACGCTTCTCTTAAATCGGCCATCACAAAAAATTAAGTTCGAGTGAAACTACTTTTACTTACGAAAAAGTTATCTGTGACCAGAGAGAACCTTCCCAGGAGACACCACTGGGTGCACTAACTCAGAGTGAGTTGCTGGGTGCTCACCTAGTGGGAAAAAAGCATACTACTTGCTATGAAAGCTCCACCTTGCAGAGATCTTTCCTTCTGTGTGTGTGTGAGGGGTGGTGGTAATCCCCTCATGCATCTTAACCTGCAGGCATATGCCCTTTGATGGGGCTTGGGGGCTCTTGGGGCTTTCATGGTAGGTTTCCTCGGTGTCAGTTCCATGCCAGCTCAGGGGATGGGAGCCGCCAAACTCTGTCCTGTCCCCTGCCACCCAGACCTGAGCAACCACACGTTTCCCATGTCATATTCCTCATCTGCAAAAATCAGTGCGGAGGCCTTGGGTGGGGCGTGTGGTTCCTGGCTCAGCCAGTGATTTGAGTGCCCCCGAGGAGGCTCAGAAGAAAAGCCTGGTGATCGCTTAGGGAAAATCAGCCCTTGAAGACCTTGTGGGCCACACTCACACTCTGGACACGCAGGACGTTTCCTAGGGTTTAAATCAACCTGATGGGAAATGATTGGTTGGTTGGTTGGACCAGATTGTGTGCCCTTCTAAAAGCTCAAAATTGTTAAGACCCACAGCATCCTTTTCTCTTCATTGCTTTAAAAAACACAACAAAACTTACCACCACCGTGTGGAGTGACATTAATGACAGACTAGATCTGCCCCGGTGGGTTTCTGAGAGTGTCGGTCATTCTTTTCAGGGGTAGAGAGCCTCATGTCTTTCCCATGGAGCTGCTGCGGGTTTTGAACTGCTTGACCTTGAGGTTAGCTGACCAGCCTGTGCCCACCAGAGCACCAGGACTCCTAGCCCCAGGGGCTACAAATGAAGGAAGGGAGCGGGGGTGGGGCTAGATCAGTGCTGTCTAGTAGAAATACCAAGCAAATATAAATATAATTTTCTACTGTCACATTAAAAAAAGAGAAACAGGGAAAACTAATTTTAATTTTATTTAGTCCAATATGTCTAATAAAGCATCATCATTTCAACATGTAACGAATATAAATATGACTGAGGTACTTTATATTTTGTATGGGTATGCTTAATCTTTGAAAACAGCACATCTCCAGGAGCCTTGGTGGCATAGTTGTTACTCCTTGGGTTGCTAACCACAAAGGCAGCAGTTCAAACCCACTGTGTTAGGGTTCTGTAGAGAAACATTTCCATTGAGACCAGCCCTATGTCACGTGCTCTGTAACCACGTGCAAGCAGTTACTGTGGTGGGAAGTGCAGGGCTCGTAGGACCATTGGTACCTGGACTCTCTCCATCCTTAGTCAGCCTTTCATCCTGTGGCTGGAAAGTTATAAGGTGGAGATTAAAACGGGGTGGGGGGTGGGGGCAGCGGCGGAGTACGTGATATATGTGTAAATTTCCAGGTGCCAGAACCTTTGTCATTTCTTTTTTTTTTTAATCATTTTATTGGGCTCATACAACTCTTATCACAATCCATACATCAATCATGTAAAGCACCTTTGTACACTCATTGCCCTCATTGTTCTCAAAACATTTGCTCTCCACTAAGAGAACCTTTGTCATTTCAACCTTGTTCACATGTAGAATTCGGGGACTATGGTCAGGTTTGTGATGCTTCTCAGCCTTCACACTCCCTGCCCCCAGTGTGGCAGTACCCCCACCCCCACCCCCCAGTGTGGCTTCTGGCTATCTGCGAACCTTCCTCAGCTCTGTGTGTGGCAGACCCAGTCTGGCTCCTGAGGACAGGGACACCTATTTCCAAAGTGCTGCAGAGCAGAAGCTGCGGACCCTGTTGCCAGGGCTGGGGTGGGAAGGGGAGGTGAGTTTTTCTGAGGGTCGGAACGCGAAGAAGGAGATCAGGAAACCAATTGTGACTCTGTGTTTGTCTTTTCATTTAGTGGGACTAGAAGATGAACTCAACTGAATTCAGTGAAGATGTAGAAGAAGGTAAACAAGCCAGCTTGTTTTCAAAAACTGCTTTAATAAATATATATATTTTAATATTTTTAATTGGGTTGGACAGTCACATGGGTCTAAAATCTAAAAAAGTGCAGAAGAAAAAGTTCCCACTCTCTTACCCACACACCTGTAATAAGCATCTTGTATACCTTTCCAAGGTTGCATTTTGCAGCGACACTATGTATTTCTCTCCCAACTCCCTCCACCTCAAAAAAGATGCCACAGACAGTTTGGAACAAATTATTTTCTTTTTCAAGTTTTCATTTTGAGCAGTATTAATGACATGTATTTCACCTATCATACAATTCAACCGTTTAACCCTATGAAAAAGAGTTGTGCGGTCATCAACACAACAGTTTTAGTTGAGCAAAATGTTCCTGGGATGTGATTTTATTACCTGGCCCCCTGTGGCGAGATAAAACGTGCCTGATTGCAAAGGACAGTCTTACTGTGACTGGACATCCTGATCTGAGTTCTAGTGTCGCAGGGCAGCACACGGGGACACAGTTGCCCCCTTTAAGACCGAGCGCCCGCCCGGTGGCGCCCTTGTCTCTCTGCCACAGTTCTGAAGACTGACGCTGTGAAGGTGGAGACGGAGGGCGAGGATGCTGCCTTTGACCGCTCAGTGAACCCCAGGCCTGAGAGGCACCCTCTGGACAGTGTGTTCACCGCCCTTCAGGACTCCAGCAAGCGGAAGCAGCTGGGCAGCGATGGCCTGCCGGACCCGGTGCCCAGCGTGAAGAGGAGGCGATTGATCCCCGAGGTGAGGGCCCAGCCCCTCTGCTCTCTCTTTGGACTCTGATGCTCCTGCCCTCTAATTAGATGCCGAATCTCTCTACTCGTGGGCTAAAACTTTAGGCATGAGAAGATTGTCGTTTCAGCTCCTCTTTCTGGCTTACGGTTCTAGAAGGTGTCTCCAGAGGGGACTCCTGGTGATATAGCGAGTCTTCACCGTGCACTGGCTCTAGACCACCTTATTTTGCTTCGCTTCGCAGGGAGAGCAGGCACTTGTTGACAGCAGGGACTGTTAGTGTGTGACCCCCTAAGCTCCTGGAAAAGTGGGGTTAGCACCTTGGTCCTACGCCTTCTCACAGAGGAAGGAGCTTGTTCCCTAAAGAGACTCTTCAATGAGTCCTTTCCCTGATGTGCCGAATTCTTTTATTGTGTCATGCCTTCTGTTACCCTCAACGCTACGTATCTTACAAGTCCCGCCCACCCCCACCCATTTTGAGGGAGGGCTAGCGCTAGTCCAAATGAAATTAGGCCCCCCTTTATTAATAGCCCCCAAAGCAGAATTGTATAAAGAAATTAAGTACCATTCTTCAAGGCAAAAGCTGGACTTTGGTCACTTCATCCTGATTGCTTTATTTCTTAATCCCCTGCTGGTTATCCTGAGCTTAGCTAAGTGCTGAAGGCGTTGGGAAAGACATGGGGCTCCTCCACCAGTGTGCAGCCCCCTTGGAGACCAGACTTGCACAGGGAAGCCCCAAGACTGGAGGAGAGAGAGGCAGCTCTGAGAAATGAGGGAGCCTGGCTTGTGGTGCCTCAGGAGTCCAGCCTCTCCAAGGACCGGCAGACTCTCCCTGGACCTCTTAAGAAGGACACTGTCTCATTTTGCAGCCCAGCCACACCGGTGGGCTCTTTGGAACAGCTAACGGAGCCCGATTTTCCCAGGATTTATTCATTATTAGCCAGGGAACATGGACTGTCAGCCCTGGGCTCCTGGCTGATAATGGTTTGTTTTAATTCTCCTCTTTCAGAAATAGGGGTGGGTCCCAGTAAAATAGGAATGTATAGATTCTAGGGAATTGGTTACAGTAAGTGAAAACTGCCTTTTTCTTTAATTGACAACAGAAAACCACCCCCCAAAAGAGACTAACTCCCATGTTTGCATTGCTATTACAGTGAGAACCTTCAGCCACACCCTGGAGCACTGAGCAATGCATCCGTGCACCTTTTTTGTGATGACGCATACTTTGTAAGGCAACAATTTATTTAAAATGTACAATTCGGTGATTTTACTATGATTTTTACTAGACTTGTACAGCCACCTCTATGCCACATTTTTATCATTCCACAGAGAATCCCTTATCCCTTTTAGCGTTCATTCCTCATTCTCCCAACCCCCCAGCCCCTGACAACCAGTGACCTGCCTTCTGTCTCTCTACTTGCTTTCAGTGAACATTGCATATATATATATGGAATCATGGAATATGTAGTCTTTAGTGATTTGTTTCTTTTTTCATGTTGCTGATTTATTCAGGCTTTAGCATGGATCAGCATATTATTTATTTAAATGGCCAGACAATATATTTCTTTTTCTTATGAATCGTTTTATTGGGGTCTCTTAACAGTATCGTACATTCATTGTATTGAGCTCATTTGTACATATGTTGCTATCATCATTTTCAAAACACTTTCTTTCTGCTTTGAGCTCTTGGTTTCACCTCCTCTTTTTTCACCCCTGTTCCCCACTCACCCACCCTCATGAACCCATGGTAATTTATCAATTATTTTTATATTTTACACCGTACCCTGTCTGCCTTCACCCACATTTCTGTTGTTCATCCTCCTGGGGGTGGGGAGTTGTACGTCGATCACTGTGATTGGTTCTCCCTTTCTCCCTCTTCTCCCACCACCTTCTCCCAGCCCTCATGGCATCGTTACTCCCATTACTGTACCTGAGGGGTGTATCTGTCCTGGAGTCTGTGTGTCAGGAGCTCTTATCTGTACCAGTATACATGCTCTGGTCTAGCTGGATTTGTAAGGTAGAACGGGGCGGGGGTTGGAGTGGGAAAGGAACATTAAAAAGCTAGAGGAATGTTGTATGTTTCATTGATGCTAGACTGCACCCTGGCTGACTCATCCCTTCCTTGTGACCTTTCTGTGAGGGGATGTCCAGTTGTCTGCAGATGGGCTTTGGGTCTCCACTCCGGCCCGCATCATTCACATTGATGTGATCGTTTGTTTTCAGTCTTCTGATACCTGGTCAACACCTCATGATCAAATAGGCTGGTGTGCTTCTTCAGTGTGGGCTTTGTTGCTTCCCTGCTAGATGGCCGCTTGCTTTATCTTCACGCTTTGCTTTCATCACATTTGCGTAAGCGCCCATTTTGTCTTCAGCAATTGTGTTGGGAAGGTGAGCATCACAGAATGCCAGGTTAGAACTAAGTGTTCTTGCACTGAGGGAGTACTTGAGTAGAGGCCCAGTGTCCATCTGCTACCTAAATACTAAACCTGTGAATATATGTACATAAATCTATTTCCCTATCGTTATATATAAATATGTTTGCATATGTGCCTTTCGACTTCTAGAAATGCCCTTTGCCTCCTAGTTTTTCCCTCTGTTTCCTTTTACTTTCCTCCTGTCCCATTATCATGTTTGATGTTCATTCAGTTCTCATTAATTCCTCTTGGCTACATTACTCTTGATCAAACCCCACCAGGCATTCTACATCTTCCTTGCCATCAATTTTGGATCACTTGTTGTTCTCGTGTCCCCCTGGCACGTTGGTCCCGTCGTTTTCTCCATGGGACTGTCTGTCCTGCCTATCTTGTATAGATAGACATGGAGCGGGAGGTGGGTGGGGGGGTCGTGTAAGTAGTTCCAGGTCTGTCTGCTGACCCTGATGAATGTTTTCCAATGGAGTCTAATGAGGTGCCAAGCCCTGTCCCCCCGTCTTATTTTTGGTATTCCTCGGAGACTTTGTTGCTTTGCTCCCCTGGCTGCTCTGTGTCACACCCTGGTGTTGGGGGGTCAGACTGGGCACAATTCCCACACTGTGTCTCCAGGGTTGCCTCCCGTAGTGCAGTGGATCAGTGAGGGCACGTCGTGTCTCCTGGTTGGGCCGGCACTACAGTTCTCTCTCTGTGCATTGGCTGCTCTGAGCAGGAATGTCCTTGGGGCTTGGTGGGCCAGAAGAGTGATACATTTTTTAAAGTTAAACAAAAAAAAGCCCACAACTTTGACATTTTTTATAAAGGCATCATTAGGAAAATCACCCTTGACTCTGGCTGCCGTGTAACTTGGAAAAGTTCCCGTACAATGCTGCAAGTGACTACTCTAAGTAAACATGCCTAAATTCTTACATGTATTTCATTCATTTTCTTACATTCATTTTAAATTGTGTTCTTTTTCCTCCTGATGGTGGTATGTAGGTGTTTTTCAGTTTTGTGTTATTGATAATTCCACCAGGATCTTTTCTATGCATACACACCAGGCCCTGCTGGGGGTGTTGCTGTAGTGTAGAGTCACAGAGCACCCCCTGAAAGCATGGAGAAGTCTGCGTGCTGCCTTCCCCACTGGGTCACTTTGCATTTCTGCTTATGATCCATTGGGCCGACTCCTTCAGGTGTTCGTAAAGCCAGCGCACGGGAAATGGAAGGCAGTTGAGTGTGTCTGTATGCCATGGCCAGAGTCACAAGCCACCCTCACTTGACAGCCCAAACCACCACCGTTTTCTTTGTCTACACTGTCGTGGGTCAGCTGTGGGGTGGTTCTGGTTTGGCCTCACTTGCTGGGTTACAGGGTCTGGACTGACCTCCCCCATACCTGGGACCTAGGGATGGCTGGAGTTTCCCTTACGTTCATTCTTGCCCTGTAGGAGCTTCCCTGGGCTTCTCACATGATGACAGAAGTAAGAGGGCAAGCTCCAGAACAGAAGTGATTTTCAAGCCTCAGCTTGCAAAAGAGCCCTGGTGGCATAGTGGTCCATACATTGGGCTGCGAACCACAAGGCCAGCAGTTCAAATCCACCAGCTGCTGTACAGGAGAAGATGAGCCTTTCTGCTCCTGTTAGGATTTACAGCCTCGGAAACCCTCAGGAACAATTCTGCGCTGCCTTTGTAGAGTTACTGTGAGTTAGAACTGACAGGGTGGCTGTTGGTTTGGCTTGTATCACCTTTGCTAGTGTCCCATTGGTCAAAATGAGCCAGAAGGACAAACCTAGAGTCAGGGGAAAGCAGCAGACTCCGCCTCTTGAGGGTAGGAGCCACAGAGGCACTCAGACAAGGATGAGGGGCTGGGGGTGGCCGTTTGGTTGACCACTCAGCAGAATTCCAGAGGCCAGTGTGACCTTTGTGGAGAACCTCAGGAGAGCTCACTGAGTCAGGTCACCAAGGGCGTGTCCCTCTTGACCTGTCACTCAATAGCCGTCGTTATCCTGAAATCACAAGGAAGGGAACATTTCTGGTTCTTTTGATGGACACTGTAGTTGAATCCTTCGGTACATAAACGAGAACTGGCACGGAAGTAGACCTCTGTCACGGCTGCTGGTGGCGGCCTTTCTGAGCTGTTGCACAGTGGTGTGGGGCTGAGGATGCGCTCCATCTGCTCAGGCAGCAAGCTCCTCCAGGACGGAGCCAAAGGCCTCATCCAGGAAGACCAGCCTGTGAGGACAAAAGAGGAATAATGGAGAGCATCTCGTAGTATTCCTACTGTGACTTACCCAGTCTTTACGGTCTGAAATACGCTCACGCTCTATTCTGCAGTGAACGAGGAACTCTGAAAGTCGTTTCAACCCATCAGAGTGTGAAGTGGGAAAGGTGTGAAGCCCTGGTCTTTATTTGGGGTGCTTGATTAGCTTTATTCATTTCCCTTAGTTTATCAAAAGTGGAGTTGATCTCTCTCCCTGCTCTCCCTCCTGCTCTGCGCTAAGAATGTGTGTAAGTCTGAGCCTTTGGAAATTCTGGAGCTCCTGGTTGAAAAGGTATCCTGTGAACCTGCGGCCTCCTGTCTCCTTGGAAGTTTGTGTGAGTTGACAT